AAAGTAATGAGTACAAATAAGGATACTGTAAGACTGGATCTGGTGGTTTATATATTTCATTTTTATAATGGTTTATGTATGACAGTTATGAATAAAGTAATGAGTACAAATAAGGATACTGTAAGACTGGATCTGGTGGTTTATATATTTCATTTTTATAATCGTTTATGTATGACAGTTATGAATAAAGTAATGAGTACAAATAAGGATACTGTAAGACTGGATCTGGTGGATTATATATTTCATTTTTATAATGGTTTATGTATGACAGTTATGAATAAAGTAATGAGTACAAATAAGGATACTGTAAGACTGGATCTGGTGGTTTATATATTTCATTTTTATAATGGTTTATGTATGACAGTTATGAATAAAGTAATGAGTACAAATAAGGATACTGTAAGACTGGATCTGGTGGTTTATCTACTTTCTTAGATTCCTCATTCTCATCCTCTGCAGCGCTGTCTTCATTATCATCAACAATAGTGATGTAGGCCTGAAACAAATCAATGTGTTTATGACATTATGTATCCATTTAAAGACATTGTTACAATATATAATAAAACACTTGATACATAACTCAATCTGGTATAGTGAAAATCTGCCTGAAAAGTTACAAGACTGAAAGCACCTTTATAAAGAAACTCTAATTTTTATATACATTTTTGCTTATATTAGTACCAAATTATTTTTTTAATGTTATAACCAGTGAAACAAAATTCTCAGTTTCTTATTTCCGTCCTACCATAAAAACATGCACCCGAAATATTTTTTGTGTGGGTCACTGGTATTTAGCAAAGTCAAAAAATAAACCTTTACTTTTACAAATATTGATTAAGACATGTATGTAGTCAATGAGGGATATACCAGAAATAATGACTTGTGTTAGAAATAAATTGCAGACGCAGCTGTTAAGAGTTTTTTTAATGAGATATTGTAACATTATGGACACAGATGAATTAGAATCACACATATGAAATTTTAGTGAAAATATTCCTGCACCAGCCATTTAATGAATTCAATGACAAGCTCACCTAAACCAGTCCTTTAATAAATTCAATAATTAAGCATACCTGTCATCATTTACTTAATTCAATGATAATTAAGCTTGCCTGTAACCAGTCATTTGATAAATTAAATGACAAACTTGCCAGTAACGAGTCATTCAATGAATTCAGTTGTAAGCTTACCTGTAACCAGCCATTTTAATAATGAATTCAGTGGTAAGCTTGCCTAAAACCAGTCATTTAATGAATTCAATGACAAACTTACCTGTAACCAGTCATACAAGTTAATAAGCCTGCCACATTCCAAATGTAATCTGTATACTATACACAAATCAGGTGCATTATTTGGTATATTACCAGGCTCAGTTTCACAACAGTCACACTGAAAAACGAATGAAATCAACTGTAACAACTTATCATTTTACTTTTAAAACATTAGTTATTCCCTCTATATATTGACTCCCATGACAATAATAAAAGAAAGTTTGATAATCATTGTTTGTCACTCCATTACCAACAATTTAATATATGTGACTATGAATATTACTGCAGTGTTTGAAGTTTCTCTCTACCGGACTCGAGGGCAGGTGATTTTTACCAGCCCTGCTAGCAAATACCAGCCCTTCATAAAAGATTTTTTTTTTATAAATCACCTATGTTGCCATTTCAAGTAAGCACAACAAACACTCAACATTCTGCTGATTTACAAAAATACTTTATAATTCCTATTTGAAATGTGTTTTTTTTGTTTCACAATTTTTTCACCAGCCATCAGAGGAGAATGGCATAATACCAGGTATTTGTATAAAGCAGACAATGAAAACTGTTACTGGACCAGTAGCAGCAGTTTTAATTTTTACCACTTGGACTGGAAAACTGACTTGGGTGGGTGGTCAGTAATTTCAAACACTGATTAATTGATTTTATGCCTTCATTATGATAATAAACAAGGATACCTTTGCGACCAGCTCACCTTGCATGAGGTTTGCCAATTTCACACCACCTTAACACTAAGTTTGTTGATATTTTTGAATTATACTTAAGATAACACTTAACTCATAATTATGCAAATTAGAAAATTATTATTCTCTGATTTTTCCCCAAGAACTAATCTGGTTCGAGGATTATCCCAGGACACAGATATAATCAATCAACTTTCATTTGATCTGTTGAATGGTGCTTGACATCTCAGATGCACAGCTGAAAATTAGCTAATTATTATGCACATTAGTTAATATAATATGCACATATGTCAATAATGCATGTAAACATGTGTGTTTGTGCGTCCCGGTGCATGTTCCAGGACTGTGTTGTATGCTACACTGTTGATTCTGTTTATATACAACACTTGGTTGTATATAACACATGGATTTGGAAATACTTTAATGAAATTTTAAATATATTTGTCTTCCTTTCTAACCCCTCCTCAAATCCTATATTCCTATGTGAACAGTTTATTTACGTTTACAACTCTTGATTTGATGCAAAGTGGTTATACTGGCTACTGAGTCCTAAAAATATGCTAAGTGTTAGAAAGTTACAATTCCTTATGATTTACCTGTAAATAATGGTGTGGGTTGGTGAGCGCCATTTGTATGGCGGCCCTTGGTGATGCATTCAGATGTCGTCTTAACACAGACACACAGTCGCTGTAAAATATCTCATGAAATATCAAGCTACAGGCACTGTGTAGATATTTACTGAAAAACAAGTTTTAGATTGATAGAGCTAACAAAAATAAATGAAGAATTACAGTGTTTGAAACAAAAGGTTATAATTTTTATACACTGTATCCTAGATATTGAATTTATAGATACATATTTATAGATATCATTTAGTAACTTTGCATTTGCTGAAGAAAGGGGTGAAAATTCAGTGAAACTTAAACAACATTTCTTCACATTTTGTTACGTGATGTGGTGCATTTGAATAGTGATTTGCTTTTGTTGAAAACCACGACTTATCAATCCTGAAGAAAGTATTTTGTGAAAGTTCTTGTGTTGTAGTTGTAGAGAGGAATGACGTCACCTACGCACGTGTGGGAATTGAGTACCAAGTGACAATAACAAAAACGCTCATGGATGGAAGCTTGTTTGTAAACAACGACATGCTATAGCCATCTGACGCATGCGCAGGTGACGACTCCCCTGCTTTAATACGCATAATCAAACCATTATGTACAACGTGCAGTGCATATTTGAATTTATGTAAACGAACAATGTATTTTACACATGTTGTTTATGTGGCTATAAGTTCCATATCGAACATGATGTGGCGTGATGGCCACGCCCTTCAACACATCCAGTAACAAATCCCCAAAGATAGGGTTTATGGCAACTAATATTGATACAAACCTGAAGAGATTTTTTTCCAGATATTCCAACACCTGATTTCGTAAAGATTCAAATTTTGTTGGTATTTTCTTTTTCTTTGCTGACTCTTGTAGGTGTTTCTTGAGATCATATAGTCCAGTAGGTTTGTTTGGTACTTCATTACTCTTCTGTGCATCTTCTTGTTGATTCACCTGGTCAGGTTCATTGCAATCTACAAATAAATATAAAACTACTTTAAATCACAAGCTAATAAGAATTTATATTTATGCCCATTAATGGTATGAACTTCCAGTAAATTTACTTTTGTTGCCATATATGGTATGAACCTCCAGGTAATTTACATTTATTCCCATATATGGTATGAACCTCCAGTAAATTTACTTGTGTTGCCATATATGGTATGAACCTCCAGGTAATTTACATCTATTCCCATATATGGTACGAACCTCCAGGTAATTTACATTTATTCCCATATATGGTACGAACCTCCAGTAAATTTACTGTTATTCCCATATATGGTATGAACCAACTCAACTTACCAACTAAGCTGTTGAACTGCGAAATGAAGGTCTGTAATTCTAAACAAATTATTTCAAGGTCATTGTCTTCATACTCAGATAAAGAATCATTACATTTATTTAATAAAGAAACCAATTCTTCTCTTGCCATTAGTCTGGAAAAATATAGAAACATTTTCACTCAAAACTCAACAAATGAAGAAGAATAGCCATTGAGCAATACATGTACATCTATTGTTATGGACACATAAAATTATATTTCAAAATCTGTAAAAAACAAACTTACTTCAACAAACTTTTAGCATCTTGATAACTTTCACTTTGAACAATGTCACCTTGCAGACAGAGAGAATACAGCTCTCTTATTCGTCTCCCCAGTGGATGACCTGGCAGGTCAAAGGTCAATAAATGCAAGCAATGCATGGTGGGAAAGAAATAGTCATGATATTTCCAAATCTGTTTTATACTTCTTTTAAGAAATTTCTGAAAAAACATTAATGGAAATAACTTTTCAATTTCCCAGCTTTGTTCACAAATTGTCTGAGTAAATGTACAAGTACTACAAGTGTAATTACTTTTCTAAAACGTAAACACATTACACTTATACCTTAATTAATCAAAGACATTAGAAAAGAAGGGACATGCAACTGCTGCAAACATGAAAAGAAAGTAATGGAAGTTTCATGCAACGTCTCTTGAGGGAAGCTACCATTATGTTTGGCTTCCTGCATCTACGCCATGAATAAATGAGTGGCCAAGGCAGCAATCGGTTTTGTCTATGTTTTTTGTGGGACCCTTTTTCAGCCAAATTTTAAAAAACAAACTTTTTAAACTTTCCGTTTGTATATAGTTCATAAAATTTGCTGATATCATAATTTTAAATTCTACTTGCAAAAAGTGTGATTCCTAATTTCTCCAACGAATTAGAAAGCGTAAACAAGATAGCAGACCATCGATCGACTTTGTCTATGTTTTTGTGGGTACCTTTTTTTCAGCCAAATTTTTCCTTTAACAAACTCCTAATTAATAAACATTTTTACGTTTCTATAGATCATAAAATTTCCTGATATCATATTTTTTATTTTAAAATTTTATTTTATTTTATGTTTTTGTGGGGTAGAACCAAATTTTCTTTTTAATTAACGTTTCTGTTGATTTTACTCATGAATTCTACCGAATTTTTTATTTAAAATACAACGAGCAAAAATTGTGATTCTTCTTCACTTGTCCAATCATCGTCAGAAATATGTTCCAAATTTTTGAAAACATCTGCAAATTTGCTGTCGTAACTTTGTGGACATTCAATAACATGTGAGGAAGCCATATTGAAAACAAGCTGTACCACTGATTTACATAATAACAGAGCACACAGCAAAGACACGCAATTCGTCAAGAGTGGGGCTTAATTTGCAAACAATTCGAGATAAGATTTAATCTACCATGATTGAATTAAAGATTGATTAAAACAGATCCCAACAGCTGCTACATCAAAGAAGAGACCGAGTGGCATGTCTCTTTTCTAGTTTCTTCGATTAATATTAGAAAAATATTATAGTTATGATTATAAAAACAAGGTCTGTCAGTTATACAACAAATAACTGCAGTAATTATACATCTTCTGAAAGCTTGGATACAAGAAACAATTTCATAGTATCTGAATTGTAGAAACTGTATTTGCTTTATTTATCAGCACATACACTTCCATAAATGATAGATGTATTTATGATATAAAGTCATAATATAATGATTTAGTATACAATAAATGTACATAATTATGTATATGTGCTTCTATTAAAGATGTGTTTCTAATAGAGCATCAAATATTATTAATTAAACACATAGTTACTCACTCTGAAATGTTTCTCATCTAATAACAAAGACTTCTGTTCTTCAGGATTCTGTTCCTCCACATATCTGAGCATGGTGTAATAATGTAATCAGTGATAAATTAAGCTGATGTGAGAAAATGTGAGAAGGTACAAGGAATGCACATACAGTGACTTAACATGTGCAAGTATTATTGTCATAAGCCCATGCAGTCATGTTGAAGAATTCAATGGCATTCACCTGATTTGGATAAACTCCATACATGCCAGGGGTTTTTCTAGAAAAAAAATGCAAGAGGGAGCACTGCAATTCAGCAGCGCCACCAAGTAAGGGAGATAGAGTTCTTCCTACCAGGGTGTGGAGTTTTTGATATTTATAAGTTAAAATGGAGCATTGTATGGCTTCCTTGGGGTCGAAATTACTATAAGACAGGTCACAGTTGAAGACTGTGGCCACATGTGATCCCTGGTCAATCAGAATTTTATGTTTGCCAGAGGATCTGCTCCCCATAGTAAGGGGGCGCATGGCCATGGGCATGAGGGTGCTGCGCCCCTGTTCCTTTGTTTAAAAAAATCCTTACATGTGCTGTACATAGATATGCCATAACTACACATCAATTCATGTCAGACTGGTCTACCCATATCTAACACTCTGCATATGTAATCATACATGTTCTGCTTAGACCAAGTTTATTCATTTCTATTTTTTGGCAGTAGTCGACTATAAATTTTGTAATGATACCGAAGGAAATTGACATACAATATGTATTTTTGTTGTACTAGAAATTCAACAATGTAGCAGCTTATTTGTTTAGATTAGGTTGTGATAAATTGATCCTACATGCAATGCATGATGGGATATATTACCTTCTGAATGAATCCAAGTTTCTAAACTCGTCCAATGTAGTGCTTTTAAGGTCTTTAATTTTGCTAGATACTTCACTGGGAGGACAGCAAAGTAGACTGGTAGTGTTATTGAAGAAATGATCCATCATGGCAAACTAACAAACAAAAATATAATGCTGTTATCACATGTACAAGTCAAGTCTATATCCTGTGAAATCCAAACACACATTCATGTCTTCATTTCTTGCGTCTTGGAAAAAATATTTTTTAGGCCAGACAAACAAAACTCATCAGAATCGCTCACATCTGTCAAATTGTACTTTTGAATTATCAATTATTTTGATTTGCACCACAAAATTACTTCACAGCAGCACAATTCTCACAAACTGCAAACTCTTTGGTCAAGAGTTGCCTGTGCATCTTCCACATCGCAGTTATAGCCTTGTTCAAAACCAATATTATTAATCTGGTACAATGTTTACTTTAAAGTTTATGCTTTCTGTAAATATTCAAGTTTTTAATGTTTAAACAAATATATCAAATCATAGAGCACCAAAGCAAATCTATAGAGCATCAAAGCAATGGTCTTTGATGCCTTCGTAAAGTTTTGCTGTATTTACTTTTTGACTTCACCATACATATACTGGTATAACGTATTTACTCTAGTTGTCATGTTCATTGTACCGGTATATGGCACTACTAATATTGTCAAAGTCCTATTTTAATCATTTACCGGTAGTACACATTATATGTAAATTTTGGTGTATGTGCACTGCTATATTTAAATATAATAAAACAACTATGTTAAGTGTATTTATTCAGATTTATGTAAATAAATAAGTATTATGAAATACATGTGAACTAAATAAAATTTTACAACAGCTGGGATAGAAAAGACTCAATTGTAGGAAGCAGGAAAACACTGATAATAGAACTAGAATTAACAGTGACCAAGATATAACTTCCATTAATATAGGTCCACTTGACTCTGGTAAAATTACTCTTGAAATTCACCAAAACCAATTAGTAGACCATAAATAGAGTAAACATTACACAGTTAGCTGTATACATTATATATATATCCTACAGAAATTTGATAGTAGAAGTAGACAGGTAGACAGATATTAATAAACAATGGGAATATGGCTTAGACTACTGTAAAATACGTTATTTAGCTGCAATTAATTTTTTCTAAAAAGAATGTTTTGGGTATTTTGTATGGAATTTATTTTCACTGATTTTTGATGAGTTGAATGTAAAATATAGAAAAAAGGGTATATTCATTGAAGGAATGATTCAGTGAAAATAAAATAGTGAAAATAAAGTATTTTACAGTATGCTTTCTGTGTTAGTAGTGAATGTAGTAAATGTTAAAATAACACAGAGTACACAGTTAAATATATGAATTTCATAAGTTGAGGTATTTGTTCCATTGCAGTTAACAAAACCTCTAGGATTGCATCACGTTTCAATTACAGACATTGCTACTTTATAGCAGGTAACAATCCAATGTAGTTGTCAGATAATACTGATGTGTTACTTTGTATCTACATATATCATATACTTGTAATGTTCCTGTACACTGCAA